GAACCTCTACATTCCTACTAAAACAAGTTGTTTTATTTTATACTATTATTATTTTTATTACTACTGCTACAACTGCTACTACTGTTACTACTATTAATATTATGATACTGAACTGTGTTTACTGAATGAAGCATAATATTAGGCTCTTCTTATGGAGGAAGTGCGGCAAGCTGTGCCCTGAAGTCTATTGGTGCAATAATTTAAGGGATATTTCATGTGTTGTCTTCTCTTTTCTGTTTGCCCGTTAACAATGGTTTTCATAACTTGTAATCATTCAGTAGTTGATCTTTATATCATCTATTGGACCTGACTCTTTCCTCTTTCAGTAGCATAAGCAAGAATAATTGCTCATCAGGTTAAGATGTGCTTTCAAGAAACCTAAGAAGAATGAATACAAACACATGACATGGGTATGATATGGATGCATGACATGAAACTTAAAGAGAGGGCCATGGGTATATGGCAACATGCCACTAGTGTGTGTGTGTGTGTGTGTGTGTGTGTGTGTGTGTGTGTGTGTGTGTGTGTGTGTGTGCACGCGCGCGCGTGCGCACTTACATACAAGGATTACCTATATACTAGTGGCATGTTTGCACACTATATGTGTCTAGACTGATAGACATGTTTGCACACTCAAAAGTCTAGACAATTATCTGATAATATAAAATATACAAGGATTGTCTATATTCTGAGCTGTTGACCTATCATGATTTTTATAATTTTGCAAAAGGAATAAGTCTTGGCTCTTCGAACTTTTTATAGGGTAACTAGACATATCTAAACTTTTAGCTTATACAAGTTAATGCTTTGATGGGCTTTTTCCACTAAAATATAATCTTTTGCGAATAAAGGGAAGTGAATAAATAAGTTCAACATTTAGTGATTAACAAATAATTGGATAAGGCTTTCAGAAGTATAGAACATGTGTTCAAGGTCCATACCCAACAAGGGCGTCTGATAGTTGAGTACAGGATTGGCTTTACAGTAGAAGTATCCATGCTACATACATACGGACCTCTTTTCGATTATAATATTGCTATTGCTTTCAATTGTTTGTTCCAGTCTCAAAAAATTATGTTGATTGTCACCGGATTAATTTCATAAGTTGTATTAGGGATAATCTGTAGTACCTAATTAAAAGATATGTGTGTGTGTGTGTGTGTGTGTGAGTTGCATTATCAAAAAATATGTTGATTGCCATCAGATCTTTTTCTAAGGAGGGAGAAAAAGATATATTAAGTTTGCTAAGATTAGAGAAAGGAAGAGTAGGGATTTGAGTAATATTATGTGTATTATAAGTGAAGATTAAAGATTTCTAGTAAACGACGGGGAAATAAAAGAGAGGTGGAGGAGTCACTTTCATATAGTATTAATAATAACCAAACAAGTGAGCAACATAGAGAACTTGACCATATAGTGAATGATAGAAATTATAAATATTGTTGACATATTAGGATTAGTGAGGTTAAAGATGTTCTAAAGAAAATAAAAAGTGGATGAGTTGTAGTACCGAACAATATTCCTATTGAAAGTTGGAAATATCTTTGAGATGTAAGCGTAGGATGGTTAACTAAATCATTTAATAAGATTATTGAGATAAAGAGTATGCCTGATGAGTGAAGGGTTAGTACATTGATACCGATATACGAGAATAAAGAAGATATATAAAGTTGTTCAAATTATATATGGTATAGTACTCATGAGTCATACTCTGAAACTTTGGGAGAGGGTAATTGAGTAAAGACTAAGAAAAGAGACAAGTTTATTTGAAGATCAAATTGGCTTTGTGCCAGTGAGGTTAACTACTATGTAACCTATCATATTCTGAGACAGTTGAGGGAGAGATATAGAGAGAAGGGAAATGATTTACATATGGTTTTCATATATCTAGAAAAAGCTTATGATAGAACGCCTAGAGAGGTAATGCGGTGAAATTTAAAATAGAAACATATATCTAGTATATATATTGATGTGATTAAAGATATGTATAATAGAGTAATAATTAGGGTAAAAACTAATGAAGGAGAGGCTAAACTGTTTCTACCTTTCTACTTTAAAAATTATCTCTCTTCTACTTTAAAAATTATCTTTCTTCTACTTTAAAAATTATCTCCATTCTAGTTTCATAAGTTGCATTAGGGATAATCTGTGGTAATTAATTGGTGATATAGTGTTCGTTGATGAAACTAGAAAATAGATAATTTTTAAAGTAGAAAGGTAGAAACAAGCTCTTGAATCTAGATGTTTTAGAATTAGTAGAACAAAAACAGAATGTATAGAGTACTTCTTTGGTAAAACTAAGAAAAGAAAAGAACCTATAGTACATATTGATGGTTAAAAAAATCTAAAAGTAATAATTTTCGCTATTTAGGATCAATCATTTGGTATGATGGTGAGACTGAGGATGATGTTGTTTATCAAATCAGATCTGGATGGTTTAAATGGAGGAGTGCTTCCAGAATTTTATGTGATCGTAGAATACCAATGAAACTAAAAAAAAAATTCTATAGGATGGTTATAAGGCCAACAATGCTTTATGGGTTAGAGTGTTGGCAATTAAAAAATAACATGTGCAAAAAATGAGTGTAGTAGATATGAGAATGTTGCGATGGTCTTGTGGGCATACACTAAAAGATAGGATAATAAATGAGTGCATTTGTAGTAGATTAGAGGTTTCCAATTGAGGATAAAATGAGAGAATCGACTAAGATGGTTTGGTCATGTACAACGCAGATTTCTTAGTGCATTGGTTAGGAAAAGTGATAGTATTATAGTTAATGGGGTTATGATATCTAGCGGTAGACCTTAAAGAACTTGGTTGGAAGCAATTAAGAAGGAAATAATTATGTTTAACTTAACGGAGGAGATGTACCATAATAGAGTGGAATGGAAGAATATGATTCATGTAGACGACCCCAAACATTTGGGATAAAGGCTTTGATGATGTTGTTGTCGTTGTGGTACTTAATTGGTATTAAAATTGAATAGTTCACACCTTCCAACTTTTGATGTTTCACTAAAGCAGATATATAGTGAATAGTTAATGATTTTCTATAGTTTCCAAACTATTTTGTGCTTTGTTATGTGTGTTAAATACTTGCCAATATTCTCTAGCAACGACCAGTAACAAATTAATACGAGTAGTTTTTTGGAGAACGAAAGGAAATATGTTATGCTATTAAGAAGTATCTCAGCTTTTCTTCTGCTGCATATATATGCATGTGCACTTAGTCATATACCAAGCATTTGCATGTAACCAGCTCCTTAATAAAGAAGGTTTCATCTTGTTTTGTGATTTGTTAGCTTTTATTACTGTTAGGAAGATGTTTATGCAACCCCTTTTCCTATTATATTCATTTAAATGAAAATTGTAGCTTATGCTTCTCTTTCTCTTGCACAGGGAGGCTGTCAACTGCCAGCTCTGCAGTGGTATGTATTTTGATGAAATTTCTATTTGTGATTTTTGTTCACACCTATATCAAAAGGCTGTTCAAACTGAAATTTTTTCGTACTTGCCTAGTATTATTGCTTGTTTTATTAAGTGCTGTTGTTTATCACATGTGTGTTATTTGTGACTAGCTGCAAGGACATGCCGATATACTTGTGTGTTGGTTACAAATAAAATTGGATATTTATATGCATGTGAATGTCTCAGGAATCCAAGTATATGAAAGACTCGATGATCCATTATACATTTGTTTGAATCCTTCAGGTTCCAAATTTTGCTGATTAATCAAAATCATTGGAGTAGGTCTCTCCATGCTATTATTCTTTCACCGGGAGCATAATAAACAGTGGGTAGTGTCTTTTTAGAAATATTAATTCTTAAAACATGTGCTTTTTTTTGGGGTTGGGGTTTCCAAAAGAAACAAAAATCAGTACTTTGGGTCTTAGTTTGTGCTTTTCTTACTTAGACATAAAGTGCTCTTTTAAGTACATAACATGCTTCTGCTTTGGGCCACCATCTGGATCTGGAGAATTATGAGGTAGTCATATCCGATCTTGTTAGGTGTTTCAAGTTCATTGATAATGACATATTTGTTCTCGAGTTTAAATAAAAATACAAACATATCCCCGTTTTTATCAAAATGTCAAATTGATACCATGCTCTATATGTCAAAAAAGTTTTTTACATTCCCATAAGCCAAGTATAATGTTGAAACTTGAAAACTGACTTCTAAATACTATTTTTACTACTTTCTATTAATTCAGAGTACCAGAGTTCCTTTTCTTCCAAAATTTAAAGAAAGAAAAATCCTTTTGTCGAATCATCTCCTTATAATTCTTCCCTGATGCATAGTTTTCCCTTTAGGGTATGTTTGTTTGCCTAAAAAAAGTGGGAAATCAAAGAAATGGAAAACTATTTCTAAGAAGAAATGTTTTGGGAGTGTTTGGTTTGCTAAAAAAAGAAGGAAATCAAAGAAATGGAGATGGGATGAGATGAGTTGTCATCTTATTATAGGATGATGTGAGTGATTTTTTAAGAAAACTTGTTTTGATGTTGTTTCGTTGGCCAAAAAAAATAAGGAAATGAATTACAAGAAACCTATTTCTTGTAATATGTTGTTTTCTTTTGTTTGGTTCATTCTTAAAAATAAGAAAATAGATGAGATGAGATGAGTTGTCATTATATTATTGGATGATGTGACCCACACTTAAGGAAATTGTTTTCCTAGCTTTTTGGGAGGAAATGAGTGAAAATGAAATGTTAATGAGATGAGATGAGTTGTCACCATCTTATTGGATGATGTGAGTGATTTGAAATGATGAGATGAGATGAATTGAGTGATGTTGTGGATGAAAATAATATTTTATTAGACGTGATGGATGAGTTGTTGGATGAAAATAATATTTTATTAGATGTGGTGGATGTGGTGGATGAGTTGTTGGATGAAAATAATATTTTATTAGATGTGGTGGATGAGTTGTTGGATAAAAATAATATTTTATTAGATGGTGAGTTTTAGGGATGGAAATGGATAAAATTGTACTTTTTGAGTTTTCTTGGTTTTCATTTCTATTTCTTGTTTTTTTAGGAAATAACCAAACATGCCCTTATTAAAAAACAGGTGAGAGTTCTCTTCACATTTCATTCTTTTATAATGTAAACCTGGGAGTAGCTTGCTTCAAGATGTATGTTTATATTATTTTAATATATGTCTTGTCAATATTGATCTCCTCTTCTGAAATAATGTCTGATACATTTTAGTTTGTGGTATGATATGAGGCGTCAAGAAACATTAGTAGCTTAAAATTTTAGGTTCATGTAATCACTAGTGTTTAGTATATTTCTCATGATATTTATTTTTCTAAAGGTATAATGGTTTTATTATAATTTCATTTCAGATTGTAATTTGGTCACTTAATTAAAGATCTTTTAGCTAAAAAAGGTGAAGGTGCTATTCTGCTTCTATCTGTTATCAGTTAGGTTTTAAAAGAAAAAAATATTTTTGGTTGAAAGATGGTAACTTTAGAGATTTTAATGAAATTAAAGATTATCTTTATTTGGACTAAAAAGTTTAGATTGTTTTATCATTGTTACCCAAGTTTATGAATGATGTTGATCTTTTCATGGTTCTTATATGCTTAAGTTCCCTTTGAAAGGCATTAAGATCTTATTAAGAGCGAGACTTATTATCTTAGAGTAAAAATATTATCATCTATGTTGTCAATTTTTGTTGGGGGCGGCGGGGGGGGCGGGTACTGAAACTGACATTTTATACCTTCAAATTTATTTTGGTTTTTTATCGTGGCGCTGTCTCTTGCATATACTATGAGCATAAATCTTTAGCAGGAAACCTAGGACCAACTGAGCTGATTTTATACTGGCCCCTTGTATCCCAAGGTTCTGTATATTTCCACTTTTCTTTCCAAGTGTTTTGCTAAGTATGTTTTCAACCCTATTATTGTAAGAAACCACCAGGCACCACTGATATACCTACCAGCTGCAAAATGAGAGGCTTCAAGCTGATGTCATAGTAGAAACATAATTATTGGAGGTATGAAACATAGACCAATTCACATATCTTTAGTGTTCTCAATAATTTCGGGAACATGTCGGGCAGAAAAAATCCATATCAGATGGCGGAAATCAAGGATATATCTGAGATATATAATAAATATTGAGTAGTCACATCAGATGATGTGTATACATGTCATAGATGTGGAGAAAGATGGCATCTTTTTTAAAACTTCTTGCAAAGAATATGACCTAAATTGAGCCTAATTCTCTTTTCCGGTTATTTACATAAGCAGATTTTTTGTTTTGTTTTGGTTTATACCTCAATTGAACTATATATCTAAACCAATTTTGTAAACCAAATAAAAGTTCAAATCAATATTGCAACATTGATCCGAATCAATCCATATGCTCCCATTTTTAATAAGATTCCAGCTAGAAGCATACATGTACTGTACTGTGCTTCTCCATGGGTATCTGGTAGGCATTTATGTAGGGGTGTAATCGGCAATTTGACAGCATAAGCAATACCCAAATAGAATATTATTTCTAATGCCACAGGATATGACTGATGAGCTAATCTGTCAAAATCCTATGTTGGTTCATTTGGACCATATAAACCCATACCTAGAACCCCTATTAAAAGAAAAATGGAACCCCCCGCGGTGTACAAAATAAACTTTGTAGTCAAGTATAAATGCCCTCCCACCCATGTGGATAAAAGTAAGTAAACAGGCTGATTTTTTGAAGCTGAAATGACACCAAATATATCTGGAAAATCTTAATATACCAAAAGCGGTAAAAGATACTGAGACTGGTATCATTTTGCGGCAAGTCTAATGGAAGGACATATCGGCCGATACAGCCATGTGGGGAATATTTAAAACAATGCATATCTTTTAGGAAACCTGGGAAAAGACAACACTATCTGTGGACTCCTTCCCCCTTGCTCTTGCATTATTAAAGTCCTGTATACGGGTTTTTTCTTCTTCAAAGTATTTTAAAAAATTATGTTGTCGTCATACTGTACCAAAAACCATTTCTACCTTGTCTGATGAACACTTAAATCCAGATATAGATATCCTTAGTTTTGATAAAGAACTAGCCTTTTTCTCCCCTCCATCTTTTGACATCTTTTATCATCTAAACATATTCTCCCATGACACAGAAATTGACTATTATGAAGCTCCATAGCAGAATTTGACTAAGTTTTTATGATTGAATCCTATCCATATGTTAATGCTCTTGGTCATGTCCTACTAACTCAACTATGAACAAGAGTGAAGCTTTGCATAAATGCTTGAGGGCTAGCTGGTGGGTCATGTCCTACTAACTCAACTATGAACAAGAGTGAAGCTTTGCATAAATGCTTGAGGGCTAGCTGGTGGTAGGTAGACTTGCCTTTTTCAGATATCCAAGAGTGAAGCTTTGCATAAATGCTTGAGGGCTAGCTGGTGGTAGGTAGACTTGCCTTTTTCAGATATCCAAGTTACGGTATGCAGCACAACAACAGCCTTCTGGATTTCTGTACTGAATAAGGCGAAGAGCCAAATGTAGTCATATTCCCATGATAAGTTATGACCAATCATTTTGCACTCACCTTGTTAAAGACTGGTTTGAGAATGTGCTTTCTCCCATGATAAGTTATGACCAATCATTTTGCACTCACCTTGTTAAAGACTGGTTTGAGAATGTGCTTTCTTGTTATTGTCATGCTACAATAAAATTCACATGCATAGACATAGGCACTGTTAAGTTCTCATATTCATTTTTTTGTGTTTTTTGCTTTACACCTTCATTTTGCCTACTTGGTCTATGGTCAAGAAGATGAAGTTATTTGAACTTTTGGCTCTTAGGAACTCAAAGTAGTACAGATAAACTTGAAATAGCCAACTCTATCTCCTATATATGTATGCATGTATGTATTATCTCTCTCTCTCTATCACATATTTGTAGGCTTGTTGGTTGATTTTTTTTCTTTTCTTTTCTTTTCTTTCTTTCTTTCTTTCTTTCTTTCTTTTTTTTTTGTGTGGGAGGGGGAGGGGGATGTTGTGCTGTACTTACATCTGTCCTTTACCATTTTACATGCTTTCACTTCCAAGCCGGTTGCTTGCATTTTGATTTTGATCTCATCATCTCCTAGGAGTCGTGTTTCGCACGTAGTCTTCCCCACCTACCTTTCCTATGTACACTACTCTATTATTATCCACTCAAATATTTTGATTCTTCCCGCTAATTTTGCTGCCTCCACAATTCTTGTCACTATGGTGCAGAATTTTTTTGGTAGTTAACTTATAGGGTTTAGTAATTAATGATATGGAATAACTAAAAAATATTTACATTTTATTACTTGGACTACATCCCTTGGTTTAAGCTTCTGTAGATGCTTCTTATAATTCAATATAAATCTTCATTATGATATTTGTACATGCATACGAGTCCATCAAATTAATTTACAAAATCCTTTGTGCTAGATGCATTGATTTTTATTTGGTGTTTCTGCATATATACCTCTCAAATCTTCCATATTTGCATATTTACTTTCCGAAGCTTGGTATTTGCAAAATTACCGCTCAATTCTCTCACATTGAGCTTTTTTACCTCTCTTGCTTAAGAATTTTTGTTTTTAAAGAAGAAAATGTTGCCAACTTTACATTGTACCATTTGCAAACAAATATTGCTACATGGGAGGGTAGAAAAACCTAATGTGACCGAATTGGAGGGTACTTTTGGAAACATCAAGATTTGATGGGTACATTTGCAAATATGTAAGGTTTGAAGGGTATATATATGCAAAACCTGCTTTTATTTTCCATAAACACCCTGCCAGATTATTAAAAATAGCTAAATCATGTTTTTCTCTTCATGATTTTAAATATAATATTGTGAAGGGGTAAACTTACCTCGGTAATCATTTACCTCTTTCTATAATTGTTTTCTATATGCCGAATAGAACGCGTTAAAAAAATATACTTCTACAATCTGTTGTCCGAAGAAACCAAACATACATATAAAGAAAGTGGATGCCACATCAGCCGCCACCTCAACTTTCACATTTGTCCTTTCCATTTTGCCATACAAGATTTACAAAATAGATAGTCGAGGGCAAGTGCTTTGTCTTCACTATCTATTTTCGATCTACTTTTCAGTTGCCAATTAGCCCCTATGTGCTAAAAATTGTGTGGAAATATATATATATATATATGGACAAATTTTTAAAAACACCCTTTTTCTTAATTTATTAAGCAAAATCGACCCCCTAAACAAAAAATAAGCAAAATCGACCCTTTTCAAAAGAAAAGGGGCGGTTTTGCAGAGACCGAACTGCACGGGACTGGTAATCCCGTGCAGTGCACTTTAATTCCCATTTCCCACCCGTGACCGCCCCCGTCTCTTTTGGCGCTTTGACCCAACCCCTCAGAAATCGCGATCCCCAATCCCTACCCAGCCTACCCCGCTAACCCGCTCGACCTCACCGACTCTTGATGGGGGAAGATGGGGCGAGGGCACCGAGGAGAGACTGGTAATTTTGCCAGCAGGATGAGGAGGAGTTGAGAGGGGGAGAAAGAGGGAGTGGGCTCTGAGGTAGTGGGCCTGAACCAGGTGAAGGGCTTGGAGAGCGTAGTTGCAGCGGTCGGGGTGTCTACTGGGAGCCATGAGGGGTTGGCTTTTGCGGGGGAGATGAACTTTTTGAGGACGGAGAAGTCCAGAGGGCACAGGGATGAGAGATTCGAGGTGGGTTGAGAGAAGGAAGAGTGAGTGAAGAGAAAGAGGAGGAGGAGGACGAAGGTGGGCATCCTGTGAATTTTTGATGGGTTCTCTCTAGTTTTTGCTCATTCTTGGGATCTTGGCATCTACCGAACTCTGAGATTATTGTTGGGATTTGGAGCTTTTGCCTTTTGGGGGGAAGAATTAATGGGTTTTTTTTGTGAAATGGTGGTTTGATCGCTGATTTGGGGGGTTGGGTCACGAGCGCGGAATTAAAGTGCACTGCACGGGACTACTAGTCCCGTGCAGTTCACTAAAACTGTACCGGTCCTTAGTAAAACTTGTAGATGGTTTCATTGAAGTAATTTTATGCCCTTTCATGATTAATTGATGTCTATCCTGCCATATTTGTCATTATGAAATCCCAGCAGTACTCGGACTTTTTATTTCACTAACACCTGTTCTTTTTCTTCTTCATTGTTCTATTCCAGTTGAATCCTTGAAGGTGCTAATCATATGGGTTTGGTGAGTCCGAGATTATTATTCCTAACCTGGTGATATTTTTTTAACAGGCTTTTTCCATAGGAAGCATTTCAGAGTGCCTAAAGGTGTTGTAACTACTTCTTACACATGCAACAGATGCAAGGATGCAAAGACCATGAGTGGGAAAGATAAACAGAGAAAAACTGAGAAATCAAAAGAGGACACGACCAACGTGAAAACAAAAGAAGAGAACATAAATAGTATGAATTTGATGGACAGGGAAATAAGCACTGTTAATGTTACAGCCTGGGGCAAAAGAAGTGTGATGTTAAAAAAGGAGATAAAAAGCAAGATTGTAGGAGATAAGGACAAAAAAAGCATGAAAGTTGAAGAGAGCTGCAGAAGAAGCGAGAGAGTAAGACAAAAGAGCATAGGAAATGGGAAACTAAAATCTCAAGGACATAAAAAAGTTTCAAAAAAGAGAAAAATATCTGAAGGTAAAGCGGTAGAGGCGAAAGAGGATAAAGGGAAACATGTTGTTACAAAGATTAAAATTAAATTTAATGGCCCTAAGAGAAGCGAGGAAGGTATATCTGAAAGAACAAGGGCTAAAATTAAATTTAATGGTCCTAAGAGAAGCAAGGAAAATAAATCTGAAAGTGCGAAGTCTGAAAAATATGAGAATGGAATCAGTTGGCGTAAGAGGAAGAGATCAGTTGTTCGTTTTTCTTACTGGCTGAATGGGCTCCTATGGACACATAAGGCAGTTACTGAAGGACAAAGTGATTTTAAAGAAAGAAATGTAATTCTACCTTTTCAACAGGATCTGATTACAACACCATGTTGCTGTCTTTGCCATCAAGAATACAATTCTGGAGTTATCTATATTAGTTGTGAGCGCTGCCAAGGTAAGTGATTTTTCTGTATTTCCAAGATTCTGGTTTTTCATATGCTCCATAAGATGGGCAGCTAAGACAGATTTAGTTGTTAATTATAGCCTAAACCTAATATAATTAATGAAATTTTGCCTGTCTCTGAATGTAACTTATTATTATCTTGGATATAGTTATCTTTGGATCAAGTATTGTCACTTTTATCCAAAAAGCTATAAGCTTTTTTCGGCACTATAAAGCTTATCTTATTTATTACTTTTATTTCTGTCAAATGCAGGTTGGTTCCATGGAGATATATTTGGCCTGGCTGTTGAGAACATCAATCACTTGATCGGGTTTCTATGTCACAAATGCCGCATGAGAGATGAACCTGTATGTCCCTTCTCAGATGGCACGATTGGTGGTGCTGAGTTAGATAGAAAATATGAAATTGGGATGAATGTCATGGGCAATGAGGGCCAAAATGATGTAGATCAGCAATATGGTGATCCTGTACTTTGCAAGGACGGATATTTGGATGAAGATTGTTTGGCTAGAGTTCAGAGTAAGGACCGTTTTGATAAGTTGCAAAGAGAGAATGTTCCTGAAGAGGAACTTTGCTTGTCCTCTAATTCTAAATTAACAAATGGACACCTTGCACATCTCCAACAGAAGAATAATTTTGGAGAGTTTCGTAATTGTGTACGTGAATCTTGTCCTTCTATAGTTCAAAGTCAAGACCATATGGATGAGAAGCGAAGGGAGGATGTTACACTACATGAAGAGGAACCTTCTTCGTGCCCTAAAAGTGTATCAGAAAATCTGGACAATGTCCAGTTACCTCAGGTAGAAGAAGCATATATTTCATCTACCAAAAAAGAGAGTGTAGTTGAAGTAGGAGTTGCTTTGCCTGAAGCACGGGAGGAGTTATATGGAATGATTGAGATCCCTGATCCTGGTATAGAAGTTGGTATTCACAGTGACTCTATTAAATTTGACCCGCAGATAACTCTACCAGCACTAAATTTGGATGATGCTGATAGGGTTACGGGTTAAAGCTTTTTTTATTGGTGGGGTTTTTTTTTTTGGGTTTTCATATTCATTCTTGTGAAAGCATGTAATCTCATATCGGTGAGATATTTATTCAAGTCAGAAAACCTGCGCATGGTTATGATTTTCCTTTTTGGTTACTTGTAACCTGGTCCTGTGCATTGTTTTAATGTACTGTTGGAAAAAAGAAGCAGTAGAGAACGTTCTCTTTATATTGTGCAAGAAGTTTCCACCCAGGTGAGCATTCATTTTTTACATTGTGCCTTTCTTTGTTTGAAATATGGCAATTGCAGGTTGTTTCTCATCCATTTTTTTCTTGCACTAGCTAGTTGCAGTGTACCTCCTACTTTGATGGTAGAATCACTTTTTTTGCGGTTTGTTTTCATAAGTAGTTCCACGTGAACTTGCTTCTGCAAGCTGTCAAGCTAATTAATATTGGTGTCGATCCTGACTGTGGAGAGCACGGTTTCCTATAATATCGAAGTGAGTATTGTTTCTGCCTGTTTTTTTATCTTTATGATAATTGAATTTATCTCATGAGGGCATGGTTGCTGGTAGAGGTTCCCAGATTCACATTATTCATCAACTATTCATAACGTGTTAAAACTGTTCTGTTTATCAAAGGATTCTGATCTGCTTGATTTAGCCCTCCATCAATGTATATTGTGCAACCTGGGCCTAAAATTAATGTTTCTTTGTTCTCCTTTGTAAATAATTTTATGTGCAAAACCATATGGCAGCTTGATGATCTTCTAGGAATAAGACTGTAAGGAATAAATTTCAGATAAGAAGAATTGCTCATTATGTCTGCTTCAAATTGAGAGGACATTTAATTTTTTATAAGTTTTTTTAGTAAATTTAAATGTCTTCTAAACTTTGATGATCAGCTATTTTATTTTTCCTTTTAAACAATGGAGCGAGCTTCTGTGTGTTTGCATTTTGGTTGATAGATTGCTGTTTTAGACTATAATGGTGATGAATGCAATTCAATAGCCTCTTGTACAATCGTTTGAACCATCAGCTAGCTAAGAACACAATTCCAATACTGGTCAAACTTTGTTGTGGGCAGCTTAAGGTAGAGATTAAGAACTCTGATTTATGAATTATGGGGAGTTCAAGTGATGATATCATGATAGTACCCTTAAGGTATATGCATTGATGATTCTGTCTACGTAGATTACGTCTTTCTCCTTCTGACATATCCTTATAAAAAAGAATTGACTATTCAGCAAATGTTGCTTGTATGCTCAAGCTGTATCCACCATCCCGATACTCCATTCTTGAATAGTGAGATTTATTCTTTAGCTGATTTTCTTTCATTTGACTTTGTAATTTGTTTCCTTCGCCATTAACAAATGGATAATATGGAATTATATGAGTACTTTTATCGATGCTTTCTCATTATTATATCACTTCAGAAACCTGTATTACAATTGCATTTGTTTTTTATGTTTTCTAATGTAGGATGGGTACTTTTCATTATGGAACAGTACCCACATCCGATATATTGACTCCAGTATCGGACACTAACACTTGTTTGGACGCTTATGGAATGTGTGATCAATTCTCAAGTTGTCCTCAATTATAAAATATATGTTTTAACTTAGATTATTTGTAGAAACTTCTAGGACACATGCCCTACACTCTCATTCACATCTTTGTTGATGTTCAGTGTTCCACATATTTGAGATATTTAGATACTTCTATTTATGCATTGAAGACTATACTCGTGTGGGGAGAAAAAATCAAATCTTAAATAAAGTTCGTTTGGGATACTATTTTATTAAATTTTGAAGGCATGAGACCTGTTGCTTTTGCAGAAATATATGATAGATCAACATTTAAGTGCATATGTGATCATTGTATCGTTTATATTATTAGAGGTAAGCACTTGGATTCTTAAACATCTATATGTATGCATGTGCATTTAAATTCTCTTTGTTGTTATATCTTCTGTTCTATTGTCATGTTGTTGTGTCCCCATGTCCTGCCCACTTACGAAACTTTCGTGTTAGTGAACATGGCTGCACCCGTGCTTCTTTCTCTATATAGAGACCTTTAGCTGTCTGCTATGCATGTTCAGATGAAGAAGGAACATAATTTGTGGAGTAGTTCTGCTCCTGTGTGGGAAAAACCGACACAAACACATGTTCATGTATTCCTCTACTGTTATCAATTATCTTGGTTATCCAATGTCTCTTGTACCAGTATCTCCACATTGCATCATGCCATATATATTGTTTAACCATGCAACACGGTCAACCTTCATGAAAGGAACTAGTGGAACCCTCAACAAAAGGAAAAATTCAAGCAACAAAAGGGGAAAAAGGAAAGTAAAATATTACAGCAGCCACCATCATGTACTATTTTTTAGGGTTAATTGCACATAGACCCCTTGAATCACTGTCTTGAAATTACTAGCACTGTAGTTTCATTGTTGCAGATAGATCCCGTGGTTAAATATATATTTTGGCTATTTTACCCTCATATGGACTTACTAATTTCACCCATGGGCAAGATCTGCAAAATTTTCACGTGTAGACGGGGCAAAAAAATTTAACCCAGGGGTTGTATCTGCAACAATGAAATTACATGGATAGTAAGTTCAAGACAATGACACCAACAAGGGGCATATCTGCAATTAACCTTATCCTGTATGAACTACCGGAATTCTAGAGCTACAAATGTGATCAAAAGGAAATTTGTTATTTATTTTATTTTCTTTTGTCCCTCACAGCCAAGTTCTTCGCTGGATAGACATCCATTTATTAGGTTCTCCTGTCATCGTTTGAAGTTGATGGCTTGAGGTTCAGTTTCAACTATAACACTTATCTTGCAGTAATTATCTTGCTTGTTTGAAGCATCATCAAAATATTCTTGCAACCTAAATTGAAATGCTTTTCAAATGATGCTACTATTAACATGGTACTTTCTCTGCATTAGCTTAGGTCTGGTGTACTTATTGTTGTGTTGGCTTCACCTTATCTGAGAATTGTATGATTTCACTAGAAAGCCTGATTGTAAGTTTGGCTGTTCTCTGCTGCAGTAGCTAATGAGGGAGTTTGTTTAATTTGTAGGACGGTGGAAGCAATATAAGATGCATATAACATCACATGACTTCATATTAGTCTTTTTTTGCATTCAGTCATCCTACGGATATTCGAGCTTTATAACTTGTTGCACCAAAATGCCATTTTACATTCCTCATAGTAATTTGACATACATTTGAGGGCTTCCTTAATGCTTGCTGGGATTGAATTTTGACTGATGATTTGAAAGGAGCATGCTCAAATCTAGAATTTCTGTGAAGAATGCGCTAATGTTGTATTATATTGTGAATGGGGCTGGATGTGATTGCACATTGGTGGTGAGCTGTAAGTTCCTTGATTTTTCTGAAAAAAAAGATTTGTCAGACGGAAGATCCTCATTTTGGAGTCCCATTTTAGGTATAGTTCAGGTGGTTTTGTTCTGGATTTTTCAGATTTTTATCTTCATATGATGAAAACATCAAAGACATAAATATGAAGACGTGCAGATTGTTTCTTCAATTTGATGTTATAAGGTGCTGCGTGTATTGAATGTGGATGGTTCTGCAGCGCAGCAGATTGCAAACAGCGCAGAAGTTAAGCTTTAATAACGTCATGTTCAATTTGGTTCTTTTGCTTTATTTTCTGCTTGAGAATGCAAATTTCTCAGCAAAATTATATCCTATTTCACCTGACCCTTTTGGATTTAGGAGCTCGAATTTACAACATGGTTTGGGTTACAAATTGGATGATACGCGAAACATGCTGCCAGATATTTATGTGCTTCCCTTTATTTTTGGAGAAGAGGAGCTGTGTAAAATTTTGAGATCTTAGATGAAGTCACTCAACTCTTTTCATCGCCAATTTCAAATGCATGTAGTTTTTGTATTTTCGTCTGTTTTTGTAACGGTAAGCATGTGCAGCTGGTCCTTGGTGGTTTTAATTATGTGCGTTTTGTTTTGTAAAAGCGAGTTTTGGATGTAATAGTTAAGTTTTATCTGCAGACTGCAGTTTTTGCCCAAGGAAACTGTGCCGTGGTGGTGATTTCACATGCTTCGATATGTTTGAAACAGAGTTTTTTGTATTTGGATATGAGAATAGGCTGTGGGTAACTCCTCATGCTGTTCATTTGTGTAGTAGTAGTGGTCTTCTCAAATATAATTCAATGTTTTAGCAAAAAGAGAAGAGACTGCAGCTTCTCTGCTCACAAGATTTTTCCCAATCATGGCATGGAGGATAAATTTGAGTGTAATTAGAAGAGACCGCGGTTTCTCTCATCATAAGTTTTTTTTAAGGGAAACTTAGCATAGCAATATCGCCTGGCAAATAGTTTGTAGACTAAATCCGCAAACCTTACGAATTAAATGATGAAATAGGTTCATTAAGAAAATACTGAAGCTTTGCTGCTAAAATTGAGCATCTTCCGTGTGGTTTAATACGCCACAGTCTGATTACTACAAGATGTCGCAAAGAGGTAATCATAAAAATAAACTTAGATTGCCGGAACTTCTTTGTTTACGTGAACCGGTTCTCGTGTACATGATATCAACTGCATTTTTTTGTTTCTTGAATTAGGGGTAGTTTTGTCCTTCTAATTTTCATTTAACGGACTCTTTAATGGAGAGTTTAAAAAGGACTAAGTGTACATCTAATAATGGGTTTAATGACAAAATTGAGAAAAACAGAAAGTGGAAGAACCAGTTCAAGTATGAAGCCCTAGCATAGAGACCGAGTTGGTCTTTTAGTCAATTGAGAAAAGATTAAAGTACCGGACCGATTTAAGTATGAAGATTTATTATAAGGAAAGAACAGGAACCAATTGGAGTACGAAGCCCTATGAAGATTTATTACAATGAAAGAACAGGAACCAATTGGAGTATGAAGCCCTAGTACGGAAACCAAATTGGCATTTAGCTAGAAAAGTGATTATAAACTTGGAAAGCATTTATAAATAAAAAAAATTAGGGATTAAACTAAAACTGTGTACACAGTACACCATCCTAACTCAGACCGACTGTGATAAACAAATCAAGCGGTGTAGCTTAAGTGCTTTATATGTTGCAAGCACAAAGCGCATCTTAATTCATCTCTTTAAAAGTTGATTTCTTTTCATCTAAAGTAGAAACTCAAAAAGAGGTCACAACAAGTCACAAAGTGCTCTTCAACTGTTCGATAAAAAGCCCATACAAGAACTCTCAAAAGTAGGTCCAAGATATTTACACTTGCAAGAGATATGGTTAATTTGTTGTCCCTCCTAAATTTTGAATAATGAAATTAAGAATAAAAAAATTATCAACAAGCACACAGTGGAATATCAGTGCAAATGAAACCTTGTCATCAGTTTGGAAAATTATAAAGCTAAAGGATTCCAACAACGATAATTATTTGTTAACAAGTCTTAATGCACCAACAAACTTTTTGTTTTCTTATTCACATTGCTATTTCTGCATGTACTTGATAATCACCGTCTCCATTTCACCGCAGAATTGAGGGTACATATAAATCCCCATTTCTTGATTAATGAAAGAGAATTAGGGAGTATCTACCGTACTCAGACAAATTTTCCAAACAATCATATTTGGACTTTTAATTACACAAAACCTCCGGTTTCCAACTTAATTAGAAAAACCGACCTGGTTTCAGCCCTGTCGCTGAAACCAGGTCGGTTTTTGAATTTTTTTTTTTACGAAACTTCACGGGAGTTGAACTCCCGTGAAGTTTAGCATAGTTTTAAACTTCACGGGTGTTCAACTCCCGTGAAGCTTAATTTTTTCAAAAATCTTCACGGGAGTTAAAATCCCGTGAAGATTTACACTAACAACATACTTCACGGGAGTTCACCTCCCGTGAAGTCTGTCACAGGATTAAAAACTCCACAGGAGTTCAATGAACTCCCGTGAAGTTACAGGGCAATTTTCCCAGAGAATCGCTCTTTGGGAAATTTAGACTGCAACTTCACGAGAGTTGAACTCCCGTGAAGCTGCAGGTTTTACAAAACATGCACAGGCTGCTGTGCTGTGCATGTTTTATATACATCTACCTATTTAACTCATATATACAGCTATTTACCTATTAACAACAATTACTACAATATATATATGATTTAAACACGCACGAATCAAACAATACTAAAAAAGATCAAATATCAAGCTATAATTGATCCACAAAAGTATAGTATTTAAAAATTCACACAAGTTACAAATTTTAACAAAATAAGTTCAAATACAACCCAATATAGCTTCTCTCCTTCCTCTCCCTCTCTTCCCCCTCCCCCTCGCTCTTCCCCGCTCCCCGCGTTCCTGCCGATGAGTCTTGACTATTTTGAGTATCCGGTTGTGTATGAGGCTAAGAAGTGCCGGCTCCATTAGCATGCGAAGTGCCGGCTCCATCGGCATGCAAAGTGCCAGCGTCATCGTCACGTGACCGTCGACGTCGAGTGTACGCCTGCCTAAATGATCGAGACCTGTCCTCACGGCCTGTGAACTCGTCGACGTGAGTCTTATGAAACACCTGCGCTATGATCTTCTTGATCCTGCTGAGGAGTCCTAACGCCACCTGATCCTGAATCTCAGGCACGGTCGCATCAATATCAGCCTCAATGCTATCAAAAGCACGGACCTGTAAGGTAAACAATTTATTAACTACCAACTCAAGAAAAAATGTTATAATTTAGCTTAGAAACTTACGTAATCTCTCTCGTTCATCCCACTATGGATGTAACTGTCTGTCGGTGGGCGTGACATGTGTCCAGCTGATGGTTGTGGGTCACGCGTGATCCATCTACGTGTGATACCTTAATACCAACGCATATACACGGTATAGTCAACAGCTGTGGGCCTCGTATCCTGGATGAAATCTCACCTGTGAGCCCACTTGTCTATGTAGGCCGCACGGAATATGACCCAGTCCGTATGGTGCAAAGTAGGTCGTCGCCGACGATCGATCTGCCCGACAGGATCTGGCACATGCTGCGAGAGCGTAAACTGTCGTAACACACGATCAGGGACATGCATCTCCACGATCTTCCAACAAATCAATGGAACTCTGGCTCTCCACAAGTCGGGAGTATCTCCACAGATGGGTGCAAGAGAATGCATATTGAGCTCCGACGGTGTATAGGATCTCCACTTGCACTGAAATAAAATAAAACATTTATCAGTATCAACAACAAAAATATAATATTTATAACGACTTATATTTACCTGTTCATGTTGGAGGCCATCAAGCTCATTTCGATAAAACTCACGATGGCGCGTCGCTGATCGGTACCTAGCGTACCGCACGTTATACCTATATGCAGAATAGAGAATATATAAGTATAAATTCAGTACGAATAAAATTTGTGTACAATTATACCTGTACGCCAAAGGAAACTACCCCTGTAGGTCACGGTGCATAAGTAAAGTAAGGCGTCCAATATGAATACGCTCCCATGACCAAATCTGTATCAATGTGCAGCATCCATTGAATTCTTTATTCTACATCAGGGATACTCTACCCAGTTCTCGATACAAGTATGCCAGCACCGCATTGTACCACGATAGTGCGCCACATACGACAAAATCCTCTAGCAATGGCAGTCATTGTGCATGTACAAGAGTCTTGCTCGCATCAGGAAAAAGCACGCACCCTATAATGTGCAATATGTACGCACGAGCATAGAACTGAAGCGTCTCCATACTGGCATCCTCTGGTATGTCGCCCTGAAATGTCTGACGAAGCCACGATAGCTTCATCGCACCACTCCTCAAGTCGGGAACCTGTCCAAGAAGCCTGTACAAGAGTCTTGCTCGCATCAGGAAAAAGCACGCACCCTATAATGTGCAATATGTACGCACGAGCATAGAACTGAAGCGTCTCCATACTGGCATCCTCTGGTATGTCGCCCTGAAATGTCTGACGAAGCCACGATAGCTTCATCGCACCACTCCTCAAGTCAGGAACCTGGCCAAGAAGCCTAGCACATACCTCCGACCAACTATAATCATCGGTGCTCGTAACTGCCGGCCCATCGATCCGAAACCCAAGTATGACGACCACGTCCTGTAAGGTGATGGTGCACTCCCCTATATGCATGTGAAAGGTGTTGGTCTCTGGCCTCCACCTCTCAATCAGTGCAGTGATAAGCGGCCAATCAAGCCTACTATATCGAACCGTCGAACACTCCCGAAAACCGGCCTAAGAGATCAGCTCTTAGAACTCTCGCATCCTCAATGACCCAAGCCGAATGGCTCTGGGAATGCTCGATCATGGTGATGTCTGGTACGGGCTGCACGTCAAAAAGAATTGATTAAGTATAATGCGAAAAATTAAAATTAGTGCCAATGCTAAGGAATATATACAAAAGATGTTTTACCTGTCCTGAGCCAATATGGTCTGAAACGTGGCTCGCCTGGAGGGTCAAAACGTCGGGGCGTATCGGTCCCGGATCCATAATGAATATAACTGAGAATTATATTAGAAGACAATGCTCAATGTGTTAGATCTTTTTGAAACCGCTACAAATTACAATCGCAAATGACATACGAAAACAAACACAGATCGAAACCGCTACAAATTACAACATCAACGCCTAATCCTAACTGGACAATTATTTTTCTTATGGCCCGGTTGATCGCATCTACTACACTTATTTCTCCTCCTAACTCCTTCACGACCGTCATCTATACAATTTCTATTTCGTACGGAACGATGACGCCCCGTCGGCCTTTTACACAAATGAGGTAATATCAGTAGCCCGTCTTGTGTCCAATGTCGACTATCATATGGTGGACGAAAACACTCTTTGTACGTTTTTCGATAGTTGTAAATAGAATACCAAACCGCGATGAACTCATAATGTGAAATCCTCGCACCACCTTGTAGATCAGAACAAGCCGCGACAACATGTGAACAAGGAATCCATTGTAATTACTGTACGTTGCAAGTGCACGTACACGAGTGATCCACTAACATGTTAACTTTGTAGGAGCGATTTTCTCTATGTGATATTCCCTCAATAACCTCCCATTCATTAAAACTGTATCCGAGCCGCTAACATTTCATCATTCTTCGGTGTGAGCTCCGAGCGAATACACCAAGTTCGCGACGTCGTGAAAGAAGTTATTAAGTCTGTAAAATGTTTTAGCAACTAGTGACTGTATTAGCATACCGCGTGCTCCCCTGAGCACGCCATTGAAACTCTCTAAAGCGTTCGTAATCATCATACAGAACCGTCTCCCGCCATCTTCACATAAAGCCCACTTATCAACATTGTGTGGTCCCAAACTAGTTTCGATCCAATCATGTGCAGCTCGAGATATAAACTTAATCCTCTCTCGTATTTGGTCATAAACTAATTTCTGTTGCACAGCCGGCTTGCCAAAGAAGATCTTGAACCTGATCGTTTCCATATTTCTTCTTGAAGTTGTCCCTAATATGTCGCAAGCAATAACGATGTGCATGTGGTGATGGGAAATAACGTTGGAGTGCTCTTGGAATTCCTTTCATCCTATCGGATATGAATGTAATCGGCCGCGCCCCCACACTCAGGATATGATATCTAATGCATGTAAAAAACCACGCCCAATTCTCTGTGTTTTCAATATCAACCATTGCAAACGCCAAAGGAAACAAATCGCCATCCGCGTCAACTCCGGTGGCAAAAAGCAAAACACCTTTGTACTTGCCGTATAAGTGGGTGTCATCAATGCTAAGAAGAGGACGACAGTATTGGAAACCTCAATACAAGGCCCAAATGCCCAAAATACACCCGTTCGTCGTTCTTCGCCATCAAGAGGGTCTAATGAAACTTCATATACAGTCCCAGGATTTTCTCTTTTGAGTGCTTCAAGATAATACGGTAAGATTTCATAAGATTTGTCCTAATCCCCAAATATTTTTATCATCGCCTTCTTCCTAGCATTCCAACACTTATTGTATGATACATCCAAGTTGATCGCTTTATGCACTAAAAGACGAATATCTTTCGGTCGTAAATCAAGATCCTCCCTCAGATACGGTAAAATCAATCGATATATAAAAGAAGAGGACACATGCTTGTTATTCATCTCCAATTGAGGATTGCTACATGTGTGGACTCCGTTGTACGCCGTGATTTTGAAATGCCCACCTACTCTTACACCCGAACGTGAATTAAGCTTCCAAGGACAATTCGCATTCCCATCGTAGTGTCCACCAAGATTTTCATCTTCACCATCTTTACGATAAAAACAAACCGCATTATAGCTTGTTGTGTTATTTTTTGTTGGCCTAAACTTGACATTTTTTACAATGGCATACGAGCGAAACGCATGGATCAATTTCTCCTTACTCTTATAAAGATTTCCCTTCACGAATGAGAAGTCTTCGCTGTATCATGACCGCTATTAGTGCTAATAGGAACAATTTCCATCACGGAGTTATCAATCCATTCCAGTGTTTTCAATGCGCGAGGCGCAATGCGAGGCGCAAAGTATCTTTACGCGCACATGCGCAAGGCGTAACGCGATGCGCGCGCCCGAGTGATGCGAGGCGCACACCACACACATAATATTTCAATATATGTAATCAAGCATGAAAGAACATATTTTTAGAATTTACATAAAAAATATCATGATAAATAATATCTTGCTACAAAATCACAATATATTGCCTTAATTTCTAATGCTAACACCCAACATAGTAGCAAATTTCATAAATTTTCAAATCAAATGTTAAATCAAGACTTATATCCAAACTAAGGATTAGTAATGGTCCTCAATTGAAGGTTATTAAAAAAGCCCAATGGATTTATTTTGTTTTTTGGGATATGGAATATCAAGTATAAAGACTCGATTGAAATGTTAACAAAAAAAAACTATATGAGGAAATGCACTACATGCATCATACACAAAGTACGAATGTAGGCGAGGCGCAAAAGGCGCTGCTGCATCAGATGTGGGGCGCATCGCCACCGTCCCGCATCGTAAAGCGCATGAGGCGCAATGAGGCGCGCGCATTTGAAAACACTGATCCATTCTTCTCATTGAAGTTCATCGGGCAGCGGATCCTCTAAGACAACATACTCATTATTAGCATAACACCCGTCAATGTGGTGGTTGTCCCCTTCATCACGATCTATCAAGGTCATGCTATTAATTTGTAAGCCCTCCTCTTCATCACCATTCTCAGATTCAACACTTGCATTATCTTCTTGAACTCCCGTGTTAGTATCGACCGCATTCGAAGTGCCCACAAACGAAAGACCGCTCATATATTGTGATTGTGTCCAACCTTCATCTTGTTGAGGAGATAAAAAGCCAACGGAATCAACATCAGGGTCCTCCAACATGCGGGAATACATTCCGTCATAATTCAACGATTTGCCCAAATTCCTTTGATGTTTTTTAATGAACAATTCGATCGAACGTTTCTCGTCATGTAAGACTCCAATGAGACTCATATCGTAATCACTTGATATTTGAATGTCGTTTGTCCTGTTCTCCACAATAGGATAATTGCAAATAACATTGAGGTAATACCCACGTGAGTTGGTTAATGTAAGTTTGTGTAATTCATTAACCAACTCATCGAAAGTACACGATTTTATTATAAATAACGGTCTCGTCACACCTCCTTTATAAACGAGCATATTATTTTCGAGGTAGTTATTTTTCCCATCATACGACATTCAAATATCGATATACGAGAATAAAGAAAATATATAAAGTTGTTCAAATTATATATGGTATAATACTCATGAGTCATACTCTGAAACTTTGGGAGAGGGTAATTGAGTAAAGACTAAGAAAAGAGACAAGTTTATTTGAAAATCAATTTGGCTTTGTGCCAGTGAGGTTAACTACTATGTAACCTAACATATTCTGAGACAGTTGAGGGAGAGATATAGAGAGAAGGGAAATGATTTACATATGGTTTTCATATATCTAGAAAAAGCTTATGATAGACCTAGAGAGGTAATGCGTGAAATTTAAAATAGAAACATGTATCTAGTATATATATTGATGTGATTAAAGATATGTATAATAGAGTAACAATTAGGGTAAAAACTAATGAAGGAGAGGCTAAACTGTTTCTACCTTTCTACTTTAAAAATGATCTCTCTTCTACTTTAAAAATTATCTCCATTCTAGTTTCATAAGTTACATTAGGGATAATCTGTGGTAATTAATTGGTGATATAGTGTTAGTTGATGAAACTAGAAAATAGATAATTTTTAAAGTAGAAAGGTAGAGACAAGCTCTTGAATCTAGATGTTTTAGAATTAGTAGAACAAAAACAGAATGTATAGAGTACTTCTTTAGTAAAACTAAGAAAAGAAAAGAACCTATAGTACATATTGATGGTTAAAAAAATCTAAAAGTAATAATTTTCGCTATTTAGGATCAATCATTTGGTATGATGGTGAGATTGAGGATGATGTTGTTTATCGAATCAGATCGGGATGGTTTAAATGGAGGAATGCTTCTAGAATTTTATGTGATCGTAGAATACCAATGAAACTAAAGAAAAAATTCTATAGGATGGTTATAAGACCAACAATGCTTTATGGGCCAGAGTGTTGGGCAATTAAAAAATAACATGTGCAAAAAATGAGTGTAGTAGATATGAGAATGTTGCGATGGTCTTGTGGGCATACACTAAAAGATAGAATAATAAATGAGTGCATCCGTAGTAGATTAGAGGCCTCCCATTAAGGATAAAATGAGAGAATCGACTAAGATGGTTTAGTCATGTACAACACAGATTTCTTAGTGCATTGGTTAGGAAAAGTGATAGTATTATAGTTAATGGGGTTATGATATCTAGCGGTAGACCTTAAAGAACTTGGTTGGAAGCAATTAAGAAGGAAATAATTATGTTTAACTTAACGGAGGAGATGTGACCTTAAAGAACTTGGTTGGAAGCAATTAAGAAGGAAATAATTATGTTTAACTTAACGGAGGAGATGTCCCATAATAGAGTGGAATGGAAGAATATGATTCATGTAGACGACCCCAAACATTTGGGATAAAGGCTTTGATGTTGTTGTTGTCGTTGTGGTACTTAATTGGTATTAAAATTGAATAGTTCACACCTTCCAACTTTTGATGTTTCACTAAAGCATATATATATAGTGAACAGTTAATGGTTTTCTATAGTTTCCAATCTATTTTGTGCTTTGTTATGTGTGTTAAATACTTGCCAATATTCTCTAGCAACGACCAGTAACAAATTAATAGTAGTTTTTGGAGAACGAAAGGAAAATATGTTATGCTATTAAGAAGTATCTCAGCTTTTCTTCTGCTGCATATATATGCATGTGCACTTAGCCATATACTAAGCATTTGCATGTAATCAGCTCCTTAATAAAGAAGGTTTCATCTTGTTTTGTGATTTGTTAGTTTTTACTACTGTTAGGAAGATGTTTATGCAACTCCTTTTCCTATTATATTCATTTAAATTAAAATTGTAGCTTATGCTTCTCTTTCTCTTGCACAGGGAGGCTGTCAACTGCCAGCTCTGCAGTGGTATGTATTTTGATGAAATTTCCATTTGTGATTTTTGTAGCTCTGCAGTGGTATGTATTTTGATGAAATTTCCATTTGTGATTTTTGTTCACACCTATATCAAAAGGCTGTTCAAACTGGAATTTTTTCTTGTTCACACCTATATCAAAAGGCTGTTCAAACTGGAATTTTTTCGTACTTGCCTAGTATTCTTGCTTGGTTTATTAAGTGCTGTTATGTATCACATGTGTGTTATTTGTGACTAGCTGCAAGGACATGCCGATATACTTGTGTGTTGGTTGCAAATAAAATTGGATATTTATATGCATGTGAATGTCTCAGGAATCCAAGTATATGAAAGACTCGATGATCCATTATACTTTTGTTTGAATCCTTCAGGTTCCAAATTTTGCTGATTAATCAAAATCATTGGAGTAGGTCTCTCCATGCTATTATTCTTTCACCGGGAGCATAATAAACAGTAGGTAGTGTCTTTTTAGAAATATTAATTCTTAAAACATGTGCTTTTTTTTGGGTTGGGGTTTCCAAAAGGAAAAAAAATCAGTACTTTGGGTCTTAGTTTGTGCTTTTCTTACTTGGACATAAAGTGCTCTTTTAAGTACATAACATTCTTCTGCTTTGGGCCACCATCTGGATCTGGAGAATTATGAGGTAGTCATATCCGATCTTGTTAGGTGTTTCAAGTTCATTGATAATGACATATTTGTTCTCGAGTTTAAATAAAAATACAAACATATCCCCGTTTTTATCAAAATGTCAAATTGATACCATGCTCTATATGTCAAAAAAGTTTTTGACATTCCCATAAGCCAAGTATAATGTTGAAACTTGAAAACTGACTTCTAAATACTATTTTTACTACTTTCTATTAATTCAGAGTGCCAGAGTTCCTTTTCTTCCAAAATTTAAAGAAAGAAAAATCCTTTTGTCGAATCATCTCCTTATAATTCTTCCCTAATGCATAGTTTTCCCTTTATTAGAAAACAGGTGAGAGTTCTCTTCACATTTCATTCTTTTATAATGTAAACCTGGGAGTAGCTTGCTTCAAGAAAACAGGTGAGAGTTCTCTTCACATTTCATTCTTTTATAATGTAAACCTGGGAGTAGCTTGCTTCAAGATGTATGTTTATATTATTTTAATATATGTCTTGTCAATATTGATCTCCTCTTCTGAAATAATGTCTGATACATTTTAGTTTGTGGTATGATATGAGGCGTCAAGAAACATTGTTAGCTTAAAATTTTTAGGTTCATGTAATCACTAGTGTTTAGTATATTTCTCATGATATTTATTTTTCTAAAGGTATAATGGTTTTATTATAATTTCATTTCAGATTGTAATTTGGTCACTTAATGAAAGATCTTTTAGCTAAAAAAGGTGAAGGTGCTATTCTGCTTCTATCCGTTATCAGTTAGGTTTTAAAAGAAAAAAATATTTTTGGTTGAAAGATGGTAACTTTAGAGATTTTAATGAAATTAAAGATTATCTTTATTTGGACTAAAAAGTTTAGATTGTTTTATCATTGTTACCCAAGTTTATGAATGATGTTCTATGAGCATAAATCTTTAGCAGGAAACCTAGGACCAACTGAGCTGATTTTATACTGGCCCCTTGTATCTCATGGTTCTGTATATTTCCACTTTTCTTTCCAAGTGTTTTGCTAAGTATGTTTTCAACCCTATTATTGTAAGAAACCACCAGGCACCACTGACATACCTACCAGCTGCAAAATGAGAGGCTTCAAGCTGATGTCATAGTAGAAACATAATTATTGGAGGTATGAAACATAGACCAATTCACATATCTTTAGTGTTCTCAATGATTTCGGGAACATGTCGGGCGGAAAAAATCCATATCAGATGGCGGAAATCAAGGATATATCTGAGATATATAATAAATATTGAGTAGTCACATCAGATGATGTGTATACATGTCATAGATGTGGAGAAAGATGTCATCTTTTTTAAAACTTCTTGCAAAGAATATGGCCTAAATTGAGCCTAATTCTTTTTTCCAGTTATTTACATAAGCAGATTTTTTGTTTGTTTTGGTTTATACCTCAATTGAACTATATGTCTAAACCAATTTTGTAAACCAAATAAAAGTTCAAATCAATATTGCAACATTGATCCGAATCAATCCATATGCTCCCATTTTTAATAATATTCCAGCTAGAAGCATACATGTACTGTAATGTGCTTCTCCATGGGTATCTGGTAGCCATTTATGTAGGGGTGTAATCGGCAATTTGACAGCATAGGCAATACCCAAATAGAATATTATTTCTAATGCCACAGGATATGACTGATGAGCTAATCTGTCAAAATCCTATGTTGGTTCATTGGGACCATATAAACCCATACCTAGAACCCCTATTAAAAGAAAAATGGAACCCCCCGCGGTGTACAAAATAAACTTTGTAGTCGAGTATAAATGCCCCCCCCCCTGTGGATAAAAGTAAGTAAACAGGCTGATTTTTTGAAGCTGAAATGACACCAAATATATCTGGAAAATCATAATATGCCAAAAGCGGTAAAAGATACTGAGACCGGTATCATTTTGCGGCAAGTCTAATGGAAGGACATATCGGCCGATACAGCCATGTGTGGAATATTTAAAACAATGCATATCTTTTAGGAAACCTGGGAAAAGCCAACACTATCTGTGGACTCCTTCCCCCTTGCTCTTGCATTATTAAAGTCCTGTATACGGGTTTTTTCTTCTTCAAAGTATTTTAAAAAATTATGTTGTCGTCATATTGTACCAAAAACCATTTCTACCTTGTCTGATGAACACTTAAATCCAGATATAGATATCCTTAGTTTTGATAAAGAACTAGCCTTTTTCTCCCCTCCATCTTTTGACATCTTTTATCATCTAAACATTCTCCCATGACACAGAAATTGGCTATTATGAAGCTCCATAGCAGAATTTGACTAAGTTTTTATGATTGAATCCTATCCATATGTTAATGCTCTTAGTCATGTCCTACTAACTCAACTATGAACAAGAGTGAAGCTTTGCATAAATGCTTGAGGGCTAGCTGGTGGTAGGTAGACTTGCCTTTTTCAGATATTCAAGTTACGGAATGCAGCACAACAACAGCCTTCTGGATTTCTGTACTGAATAAGGCGAAGAGTCAAATGTAGTCATATCCCCATGATAAGTTATGACCAATCATTTTGCACTCACCTTGTTAAAGACTGGTTTGAGAATGTGCTTTCTTGTTATTGTCATGCTACAATAAAATTCACATGCATAGACATAGGCACTGTTAAGTTCTCATATTCCTTTTTTTGTGTTTTTTGCTTTACACCTTCATTTTGCCTACTTGGTCTATGGGCAAGAAGATGAAGTTATTTGAACTTTTGGCTCTTAGGAACTCAAAGTAGTACAGATAAACTTGAAATAGCCAACTCTATCTCCTATATATGTATGCATGTATGTATTATCTCTCTCTCTCTATCACATATTTGTAGGCTTGTTGGTTGATTTTTTTTCTTTTCTTTTCTTTTCTTTCTTTCTTTCTTTCTTTCTTTCTTTTTTTTTTGTGTGGGAGGGGGAGGGGGATGTTGTGCTGTACTTACATCTGTCCTTTACCATTTTACATGCTTTCACTTCCAAGCCGGTTGCTTGCATTTTGATTTTGATCTCATCATCTCCTAGGAGTCGTGTTTCGCACGTAGTCTTCCCCACCTACCTTTCCTATGTACACTACTCTATTATCCACTCAAATATTTTGATTCTTCCCGCTAATTTTGCTGCCTCCACAATTCTGGTCACTATGGTGCAGAATTTTTTTGGTAGTTAACTTATAGGGTTTAGTAATTAATGATATGGAATAACTAAAAAATATTTACATTTTATTACTTGGACTACATCCCTTGGTTTAAGCTTCTGTAGATGCTTCTTATAATTCAATATAATCTTCATTATGATATTTGTACATGCATATGAGTCCATCAAATTAATTTACAAAATCCTTTGTGCTAGATGCATCGATTTTTATTTGGTGTTTCTGCATATATACCCCTCAAATCTTCCATATTTGCATATTTACTTTCCGAAGCTTGGTATTTGCAAAATTACCGCTCAATTCTCTCACATTGAGCTTTTTTACCTCTCTTGCTTAAGAATTTTTGTTTTTAAAGAAGAAAATGTTGCAACTTTACATTGTACCATTTGCAAACAAATATTGCTACGCGGGAGGGTAGAAAAACCTAATGTGACCGAATTGGAAGGTACTTTTGGAAACATCAAGATTTGAGGGGTACATTTGCAAATATGTAAGGTTTGAAGGGTATATATGCAAAACCCACTTTTATTTTCCATAAACACCCTGCCAGTTTATTAAAAATAGCTAAATCATGTTTTTCTCTTCATGATTTTTAAATATAATATTGCGAAGGGGTAAACTTACCTCGGTAATCATTTACCACTTTCTATAATTGTTTTCTATATGCCGAATAGAATGCGTTTAAAAAATATACTTCTACAATCTGTTGTCCGAAGAAACCAAACATACATATAAAGAAAGTGGATGCCACATCAGCCGCCACCTCAACTTTCACATTTGTCCTTCCCATTTTTCCATACAAGATTTGCAAAATAGATAGTCGAGGGCGACTGCTTTGTCTTCACTTTCTATTTTCGATCTACTTTTCAGTTGCCAAACAGCCCCTATGTGCTAAAACTTGTGTGGAAATATATATATATATATATTCTGTTTCGTGATGTGTGTGTGAAACCATCATAAAGCTTCACAGTAAAACTTGTAGATGGTTTCATTGAAGTAATTTTATGCCCTTTCATGATTAATTGATGTCTATCCTGGCATATTTGTCATTATGAAATCCCAGCAGTACTCGGACTTTTTATTTCACTAACACCTGTTCTTTTTCTTCGTCATTGTTCTATTCCAGTTGAATCCTTGAAGGTGCTAATCATATGGGTTTGGTGAGTCCGAGATTATTATTCCTAACCTGGTGATATTTCTTTAACAGGCTTTTTCCATAGGAAGCATTTCAGAGTGCCTAAAGGTGTTGTAACTACTTCTTACACATGCAACAGATGCAAGGATGCAAAGACCATGAGTGGGAAAGATAAACAGAGAAAAACTGAGAAATCAAAAGAGGACACGACCAACGTGAAAACAAAAGAAGAGAACATAAATAGTATGAATTTGATGGACAGGGAAATAAGCACTGTTAATGTTACAGCCAGGGGCAAAAGAAGTGTGATGTTAAAAAAGGAGATAAAAAGCAAGATTGTAGGAGATAAGGACAAAAAAAGGGGCAAAAGAAGTGTGATGTTAAAAAAGGAGATAAAAAGCAAGATTGTAGGAGATAAGGACAAAAAAAGCATGAAAGTTGAAGAGAGCTGCAGAAGAAGCGAGAGAGTAAGACAAAAGAGCATAGGAAATAGGAAACTAAAATCTCAAGGACATAAAAAAGTTTCAAAAAAGAGAAAAATATCTGAAAGTAAAATGGTAGAGGCGAAAGAGGATAAAGGGAAACATGTTGTTACAAAGATTAAAATTAAATTTAATGGCCCTAAGAGAAGCGAGGAAGGTATATCTGAAAGAACAAGGGCTAAAATTAAATTTAATGGTCCTAAGAGAAGCAAGGAAAATAAATCTGAAAGTGCGAAGTCTGAAAAATATGAGAATGGAATCAGTTGGCGTAAGAGGAAGAGATCAGTTGTTCGTTTTTCTTACTGGCTGAATGGGCTCCTATGGACACATAAGGCAGTTACTGAAGGACAAAGTGATTTTAAAGAAAGAAATGTAATTCTACCTTTTCAACAGGATCTGATTACAACACCGTGTTGCTGTCTTTGCCATCAAGAATACAATTCTGGAGTTATCTATATTAGTTGTGAGCGCTGCCAAGGTAAGTGATTTTTCTGTATTTCCAAGATTCTGGTTTTTCATATGCTCCATAAGATGGGCAGCTAAGACAGATTTAGTTGTTAATTATAGCCTAAACCTAATATAATTAATGAAAATTTGCCTGTCTCTGAAAGTAACTTATTATTATCTTGGATATAGTTATCTTTGGATCAAGTATTGTCACTTTTATCCAAAAAGCTATAAGCTTTTTTAGGCACTATAAAGCTTATCTTATTTATTACTTTTATTTCTGTCAAATGCAGGTTGGTTCCATGGAGATATATTTGGCCTGGCTGTTGAGAACATCAATCACTTGATCGGGTTTCTATGTCACAAATGCCGCATGAGAGATGAACCTGTATGTCCCTTCTCAGATGGCACGATTGGTGGTGCTGAGTTAGATAGAAAATATGAAATTGGGATGAATGTCATGAGTAATGAGGGCCAAAATGATGTAGATCAACAATATGGTGATCCTGTACTTTGCAAGCACGGATATTTGGATGAAGATTGTTTGGCTAGAGTTCAGAGTAAGGACCGTTTTGATAAGTTGCAAAGAGAGAATGTTCCTGAAGAGGAACTTTGCTTGTCCTCTAATTCTAAATTAACAAATGGACACCTTGCACATCTCCAACAGAAGAATAATTTTGAAGAGTTTCGTAATTGTGTACGTGAAGCTTGTCCTTCTATAATTCAAAGTCAAGACCATATGGATGAGAAGCAAAGGGAGGATGTTACACTACATGAAGAGGAACCTTCTTCGTGCCCTAAAAGTGTATCAGAAAATCTGGACAATGTCCAGTTACCTCAGGTAGAAGAAGCATATATTTCATCTACCAAAAACGAGAGTGTAGTTGAAGTAGGAGTTGCTTTGCCTGAAGCACAGGAGGAGTTATATGGAATGATTGAGATCCCTGATCCTGGTATAGAAGTTGGTATTCACAATGACTCAATTAAATTTGACCCGCAGATAACTCTACCAGCACTAAATTTGGATGATGCTGATAGGGTTACGGGTTAAATTCATATTCATTCTTGTGAAAGCATGTAATCTCATATCGGTGAGATATTTATTCAAGTCAGAAAACCTGTGCATGGTTATGATTTTCCTTTTTGGTTACTTGTAACCTGGTCCTGTGCATTGTTTTAATGTACTGTTGGAAAAAAGAAGCAGTAGAAAACGTTCTCTTTATATTGTGCAAGACGTTTCGACCCAGGTGAGCATTCATTTTTTACATTGTGCCTTTCTTTGTTTGAAATATGGCAATTGCAGGTTGTTTCTCATCCATTTTTTTCTTGCACTAGCTAGTTGCAGTGTACCTCCTACTTTGATGGTAGAATCACTTTTTTTGCGGTTTGTTTTCATAAGTAGTTCCACGTGAACTTGCTTCTGCAAGCTGTCAAGCTAATTAATATTGGTGTCGATCCTGACTATGGGGAGCACGGTTTCCTATAATATCGAAGTGAGTATTGTTTCTGCCTGTTTTTTTATCTTTATGATAATTGAATTTATCTCATGAGGGCATGGTTGCTGGTAGAGGTTCCCAGATTCACATTATTCATCAACTATTCATAACGTGTTAAAACTGTTCTGTTTATCAAAGGATTCTGATCTGCTTGATTTAGCCCTCCATCAATGTATATTGTGCAACCTGGGCCTAAAATTAATGTTTCTTTGTTTTTCTTTGTAAATAATTTTATGTGCAAAACCATATGGCCAGCTTGATGATCTTCTAGGAATAAGACTGTAAGGAATAAATTTCAGATAAGAAGAATTGCTCATTATGTCTGCTTCAAATTGAGAGGACATTTGATTTTTTATAAGTTTTTTTTAGTAAATTTAAATGTCTTCTAAACTTTGATGATCGGCTATTTTATTTTTCCTTTTAAACAATGGAGCGAGCTTCTCTGTGTTTGCATTTTGGTTGATAGACTGCTGTTTTAGACTATAATGGTGATGAATGCAATTCAATAGCCTCTTGTACAACCGTTTGAACCATCAGCTAGCTAAGAACACAGTTCCAATACTGGTCAAACTTTCTTGGGGGCAGCTTAAGGTAGAGATTAAGAACTCTGATTTATGAATTATGGGGAGTTCAAGTGATGATAGTACCCTTAAGGTATATGCATTGATGATTTTGTCTACGTAGATTACGTCTTTCTCCTTCTGACATATCCTTATAAAAAAGAATTGACTATTCAGCAAATGTTGCTTGTATGCTCAAGCTGTATCCACCATCCCGATACTCCATTCTTGAATAGTGAGATTTATTCTTTAGCTGATTTTCTTTCATTTGACTTTGTAATTTGTTTCCTTCGCCATTAACAAATGGATAATATGGAATTATATGAGTACTTTTATCGATGCTTTCTCATTATTATATCACTTCAGAAACCTGTATTACAATTGCATTTGTTTATTATGTTTTCTAATGTAGGATGGGTACTTTTCATTATGGAACAGTACCCACATCCGATATATTGACTCCAGTATCGGACACTAACACTTGTTTGGACGCTTATGGAATGTGTGATCAATTCTCAAGTTGTCCTCAATTATAAAATATATGTTTTAACTTAGATTATTTGTAGAAACTTCTAGGACACATGCCCTACACTCTCATTCACATCTTTGTTGATGTTCAGTGTTCCACATATTTGAGATATTTAGATACTTCTATTTATGCATTGAAGACTATACTCGTGTGGGGAGAAAAAATCAAATCTTAAATAAAGTTCGTTTGGGATACTATTTTATTAAATTTTGAAGGCATGAGACCTGTTGCTTTTGCAGAAATATATGATAGATCAACATTTAAGTGCATATGTGATCATTGTATCGTTTATATTATTAGAGGTAAGCACTTGGATTCTTAAACATCTATATGTATGCATGTGCATTTAAATTCTCTTTGTTGTTATATCTTCTGTTCTATTGTCATGTTGTTGTGTCCCCATGTCCTGCCCACTTACGAAACTTTCGTGTTAGTGAACATGGCTGCACCCGTGCTTCTTTCTCTATATAGAGACCTTTAGCTGTCTGCTATGCATGTTCAGATGAAGAAGGAACATAATTTGTGGAGTAGTTCTGCTCCTGTGTGGGAAAAACCGACACAAACACATGTTCATGTATTCCTCTACTGTTATCAATTATCTTGGTTATCCAATGTCTCTTGTACCAGTATCTCCACATTGCATCATGCCATATATATTGTTTAACCATGCAACACGGTCAACCTTCATGAAAGGAACTAGTGGAACCCTCAACAAAAGGAAAAATTCAAGCAACAAAAGGGGAAAAAGGAAAGTAAAATATTACAGCAGCCACCATCATGTACTATTTTTTAGGGTTAATTGCACATAGACCCCTTGAATCACTGTCTTGAAATTACTAGCACTGTAGTTTCATTGTTGCAGATAGATCCCGTGGTTAAATATATATTTTGGCTATTTTACCCTCATATGGACTTACTAATTTCACCCATGGGCAAGATCTGCAAAATTTTCACGTGTAGACGGGGCAAAAAAATTTAACCCAGGGGTTGTATCTGCAACAATGAAATTACATGGATAGTAAGTTCAAGACAATGACACCAACAAGGGGCATATCTGCAATTAACCTTATCCTGTATGAACTACCGGAATTCTAGAGCTACAAATGTGATCAAAAGGAAATTTGTTATTTATTTTATTTTCTTTTGTCCCTCACAGCCAAGTTCTTCGCTGGATAGACATCCATTTATTAGGTTCTCCTGTCATCGTTTGAAGTTGATGGCTTGAGGTTCAGTTTCAACTATAACACTTATCTTGCAGTAATTATCTTGCTTTTTTGAAGCATCATCAAAATATTCTTGCAACCTAAATTGAAATGCTTTTCAAATGATGCTACTATTAGCATGGTACATTCTCTGCATTAGCTTAGGTCTGGTGTACTTATAGTTGTGTTGGCTTCACCTTATCTGAGAATTGTATGATTTCACTAGAAAGCCTGATTGTAAGTTTGGCTGTTCTCTGCTGCAGTAGCTAATGAGGGAGTTTGTTTAATTTGTAGGACGGTGGAAGCAATATAAGATGCATATAACATCACATGACTTCATATTAGTCTTTTTTTGCATTCAGTCATCCTACGGATATTCGAGCTTTATAACTTGTTGCACCAAAATGTCATTTTACATTCCTCATAGTAATTTGACATACATTTGAGGGCTTCCTTAATGCTTGCTGGGATTGAATTTTGACTGATGATTTGAAAGGAGCATGCTCAAATATAGAATTTCTGTGAAGAATGCGCTAATGTTGTATTATATTGTGAATGGGGCTGGATGTGATTGCACATTGGTGGTGAGCTGTAAGTTCCTTGATTTTTCTGAAAAAAAAAAAGATTTGTCAGACAGAAGATCCTCATTTTGGAGTCCCATTTTAGGTAGTTCAGGTGGTTTTGTTCTGGATTTTTCAGATTTTTATCTTCATATGATGAAAACATCAAAGACATAAATATGAAGAGGGGCAGCTTGTTTCTTCAATTTGATGTTATAAGGTGCTGCGTGTATTGAATGTGGATGGTTCTGCAGCGCAGCAAATTGCAAACAGCGCAGAAGTTAAGCTTTAATAACGTCATGTGCAATCTGGTTCTTTTGCTTTATATTCTGCTTAAGAATGCAAATTTCTCAGCAAAATTTTATCTTATTTCACGTGACCCTTTTGGATTTAGGAGCTCGAATTTACAACATGGTTTGGGTTACAAATTGGATGATACGCGAAACATGCAGCCGGATATTTATGTGCTTCCCTTTATTTTTGGGGAAGAGGAGCCGCGTGTAAAATATTGAGATCTTAGATGAAGTCACTCTACTCTTTTCATCGCCAACTTCAAATGCATGTAGTTTTTGTATTTTCATCTGTTTTTGTAACTGTAAGCATGTGCAGTTGGTCCTTGGTGGTTTTAATTATGTGCGTTTTGTTTTGTAAAAGCGAATTTTGGTTGTACTAGTTAAATTTTATCTGCAAACTGCAGTTTTTGCCCAAGGAAACTGTGCCAAGGAGGTGATTTCAAATGCTTCGATACGTTTGAAACAGAGTTTTTTGTATTTGGATATGAGAATAGGTTGTGGGTAACTCCTCATGCTGTTCATTTGTGTAGTAGTAGTGGTCTTCTCAAATATAATTCAATGTTTTAGCAAAAAGAGAAGAGACTGCAGCTTCTCTGCTCACAAGATTTTTAATTTGAGTGTAATTAGAAGAGACCGCGGTTTCTCTTATCATAAGTTTTTTTAGGGAACTTAGCATAACATTATCGCCTGGCAAATAGTTTGTAGATCAAATCTGCAACCCTTACGAATTAAATGTTGAAATAGGTTCATTAAGAAAATACTGAAGCTTTGCTGCTAAAATTGAGCATCTTCCGTGTGGTTTAAGACGCCAGTCTGATTACTGCAAGAGGTAATTCATAAAAATAAACTTAGATTGCCGGAACTTCTTTGTTTACGTGAACCTGTTCTCGCGTGCATGATATCAGCTGCACTTTTTTGTTTCTTGAATTAGAGGTAGTTTTGTCCTTCTAATTTTCATTTAACGGACTCTTTAATGGAGAGTTTAAAAAGGACTAAGTGTACATCTAATAATGGGTTTAATGACAAAATTGAGAAAAACAGAAAGTGGAAGAACCAGTTCAAGTATGAAGCCCTAGCATAGAGACCGAGTTGGTCTTTTAGTCAATTGAGAAAAGATTAAAGTACCGGACCGATTTAAGTATGAAGATTTATTATAAGGAAAGAACAGGAACCAATTGGAGTACGAAGCCCTATGAAGATTTATTACAATGAAAGAACAGGAACCAATTGGAGTATGAAGCCCTAGTACGGAAACCAAATTGGCATTTAGCTAGAAAAGTGATTATAAACTTGGAAAGCATTTATAAATAAAAAAAATTGGGGATTAAACTAAAACTGCGTACACCATCCTAACTCAGACCGACTGTGATAAACAAATCAAGCGGTGTAGCTTAAGTGCTTTATATGTTGC